TCTCTCTCTCTCTCTCTCTCTCTCTCTCTCTCTCTCCGCTCTCCATCTCCGTTATTTATTATGTTGACTTATGTCTTCAAATGTCGTGCACTGTCTAACCTGACCTCACCCCCTCCCTCCCCCTGTGACGTCACCAGCTGTCCAGTAACCTGGACGGCCTGGAGCACATCGTGCGCTCAGAGACTGAAGACCTCCAAGAGATCACAGACTCGGCCGTGCACAGCCTGCGAGAGATGTTTTCGAACACAAGACACATTTTCGACGACCTCAATCTTAAGGGGAAAGATTTCCTGCAGAATGCAACCATGGTAGGTTCTTGAACAACTTGCAAAGGTTTTATAATGGCGTGTTTGTTATAGGTTTTGCATTCATTATGTTGTTCATCATTCATCATCATCCAGTGTCAGATCTGCGACAGACATCGGCGATCATGGTTCTCCATTCATCCCTTTGCTCGGAAGCTCACAAAAAAGCTACGTTTCCCTGATCTTTCCCCGTTACCCATTTGTTTAGGTTTCCTTGGTAGGCATACCCCTGCTTCGTTTGATTTCTATTTTGCCAGTGACTGCTAGATATTCATCATTAACCTGTCCAAAAAGTACTAGGGAAAACTATTGGTGAATATTCTTCTTGGATTATGCCGGCTTGAGTTAATTTTAAACTGTGACTGGGAAGTTACAGAGAAAAAAGAGAATCATTAGAAACAAGATTTAAAAATAGTTCTGTGTGCAGAATAGGATATTTAGAACACTACAGTCTTTCAATGTATTATGGTTATCTTTTTTTTACTATTGACCATACCCTTACCCCTCAATATTTCTGGTATTTCCCTCCTCCCACCCCACACCAACACTATACCCCCCCCCCTCCCCCAGAATCCCCCAGTAATCTAAACAAACTGCTTACATTGACAACAACTTTGTGGTAGGCGAAAATTCAGAACAGTTTTTTTTTCCTTTCTCTTTTTGTTCAGTCATATTGTATTACTGTACTAGTTTACCACTCAGAACAAGACCGCTACTCGAGCAAAAAAAGCATTCCTCTCTCGGGAATTGGGTCCTCATGAGTTCTGTGAGCAACGCTGAAGGGCCAAACCACTTTTTTGGTAAGTGTTTTACGGAGCTCGAAACTGCAAAAGGTCCTACTAGCGCGCGGCACACATTAAACATTTTCA